CCTCCAGGATATTATTGATTTTCTTTAACTTAATTTGTAGTTTTAAGTTTCAATCATTACTCTTCAACCCTAGGTTTCCTTTCTCTTTCTGCCTCTTTTTCTTCTTGTTTGTTTCAGTTCTCTTCTTCTCTTCTTGTTCTTCTTTTTCCTCAATTTCTTCCTCTATCGTTTTTGTTATTTCACTTCTACCTAGAACTCAATTTCCATTTTCACTTTTTCTTCCTCTTCTCCATCTCTATTTTAAAGCAACTTATACTTTCTATTCTTTCTCTTTTTTTTTATTTCTGTATTTAAATTATGTCTTTCTTTCTTTCTTTCTTTCTTCTTGTTAGTAATGGGCGCCCATGTGGCATGACCATTTAAATTTAACATTTGATCCTTATCCAAATAGGTTTTGATTTTGAAATCAAACCTATTTAGGATAACCACTCTTGAAACAGACGTTATCAGTTTGAACTGATATAGATAGATATAATATATATTAGATATTATCTGTATCTTAACTGATATGGATAGATATTATAATATATTAAATATTTGTTATATGGTTATGGGTAATCCAAGAGAAACAACGTTGAGTCTGTTTTCTACCCATATACTGACTCTCTCCCAAGAAACAACGATCAAGTCAGTTGCACTGTGGTTTGTGTGGGTGATATTCACCATTGTAATATCACCCCACTGCTGGGATTGATTGATCTGATTCTGGAAGCACGTGATTTATCCACGAGGTTCTATCATCAAAAGGTATGATCTGATGATTTTATTCCGCTGCATGTTTTGTGTTTTGATTTACAATTACAATTTGGTTCATCTGATCCATCTTACAATCAATTGACTTTGCTGTGATTGCCTTACCCACATTTCTACCTCGTCACCATTAACCTGCAAAAGAAACTTGCATCTATGTATTGACGAAAGTGTAAAAATTCAAACCTACAGATGCAGGGATAGGAAATAAATTTTACCTGGAGAGTGTCCTCGATTAGTGAATAAGAAATTTGACCAGACTCATCTGTACTAAACAGTCTTCATGGACAAGACCTACACCATTCAAAGGAACAAATTCAAGAAACAATTAGATATAAGCCAGAATGTTAAGCTCAGCTCAGCTCAGCTCAGCTACCTACCAGAAATTTAAATGTGGCAAGATGAATAATTACCATAGCTTTTCAGCAAAGTGGAATTTGCTGCATAAAAATCTAAGTATGCATCCAGCCGCTGTGTTAGAAAGATCTTCAGAAGCTGATATACCAAAGCATACTTAGCATCTTTCTCCAATTGTGCCACAGCAGGCATATCTAGCAAATCACACTGCCATGAAACACCACAAAGAATACACTTTGAGAACCAAAAACTAGAGTATGATCTAGGCTAAAGTAGGGTAAAAATGTGCAACACCTGTGCATACACTCTACAAGCCTAGAACCATAGTAAAGCAATGAACAATAAACACAATGCACATGGACAATCACTCAGCATGACTAAAGCATGCATCACACATCTTTTATCCAAAGAAAATCCAAATGATTCACCACAACGCTGCTTGACTCCCCACTTCAATCAAAGCTAGTCTAATTCCTCCTTTTCACCTCTAGATCCCATATTCAAAATTCAATTCAGAATTCAATTTCCTCTAAACCCATATTCAAAATTCAGTTAAAGACTGAAATACCTGAAACATGTCAGGTGCCTTCACAAATTCAATAATAGTGCAAACAGCTTCCTCCTTGGCTTCCCCAATATTATATGCATCTTCACCAGAAAAAGTTTTCAGATATTTGGTCAGGAATTTGAAAGAATCCCTTGCTGAGCTGGAATTACAACACATGACGTAAACAATAACAATAAGAATTCCAAAATAAATTAGGAATTTTTTATAGAAAATGTAAATAGAAAGAATTAGTCACAATTTTAAGCATAAAAAACTTTTTCTACAACAATAAACAAGCATAATCCAATAGAAGTAGTTACACCTTCGTCTAAAAATGAATCCATACACTTGGACAGCTATACCTTTTACTGTCTTTCAAGATATTAGCGATGGTGCAATAGAGTTTTCTCTGATCCTGGACCCCAATATTCCATTCCATCAATAAGTTATCCATCTTTCTAAAAGAATATATTCAGTGACCTTCCCATGGACTGCTAGATCAAGGGCCTTCATTTAAACAAAGAATCGGCTGTACGAATTCTCCGGCTCGTAAGGTTTGCAAACTACAGCGTGCTCTCTATGGTCTCAAGCAAGCCTCACGAGCTTGGTTTGCAAAATTCAATTCCACTATCCTTGACTTCAGCTTCACCTCCAACTCATATGACTACGCTCTATTTGTTCGGGCCACTCCTCATGCAACCACTCTTCTTCTTCTTTACGTGGATGATATGATTATCACCGGTGATGATGTGGCTAGTATTCTTAGCCTCAAACAATTTCTCAATCGTCAGTTTGAGATGAAGGACCTTGGTACTCTTAATTATTTCTTAGGGCTTGAAATCTCTCATGATTCCAATGGTTATTATTTGTCACAAGCCAAATATGCATCCGATCTTCTGGCACATGCTGGTCTTACCGATTGCAAGACTATCTCTACTCTCGTTGATCCTCAGACTCATCTCACTTCTCTAGACGGGGATCTTCTCTCTGATGCTACTCTTTATCGCTAGCGGGTCGGTAGTCTTGTCTATCTCACTGTGACTTGTCCTGACATTGCCTATGCTATCCATCTTGTTAGTCAGTACATGTCGGCTCCCTGCACCCCGCATTACACTACTCTACTTTGCATACTTCGCTACCTTAAAGGCACTATGTTCCATGGACTTCACTATTTTGCCCACTCTTCTCTCCTTTTCTGATGTTGATTGGGCTGGGGATCCTATTGATCGACGCTCCACCACGGGTTTCTATTTCTTCTTAGGAGATTCTCTTCTTACTTGGCGCAGCAAGAAACAATCCCTCATTGCTTGCTCTAGTACTGAAGTTGAATACCGTCCTCTTGTTGACACTACTCAGGAACTTTTATGGCTTCACTGGCTCTTTGCTGATATGGGTGTTTCTTCCCCTGGTGCCACCTCTCTCTATTGTGACAATCAGAATGCCATTCAAATTGCTCACAATGATGTCTTCCATGATCACACCAAACATATTAAGATTGATTGTCATTTCATTCGACAGGATGTTTGTCACGACCCGCTCCCCGTACCCAAGGGTTAGGCATCGTGATGGCCAGTAACCAAGGTTACCTCCGGTCAAATCTTTAAACAATTTAATAAACGCAAGCGGAAGAAATATTTAAATAAGGGTACTAAAATAATCATTGGAGCTTCTATTTTTATTACAAAAGGTATTAACCAAAAAGGCCGATTTTTACATAAAAAAAATATACATCAATAAAAGGTGCTTTGTGCCTACTCCACACGTTGGTCCCGACATGCCACCTGAAAGTGGTAAAAAACTATAAGCTCATGGCAGAGTGAGAAATATTATACTAAGAGTATAAGGCATAAAATTCACCATGGATAATTAGTTAGGCCAAAAAGAGCTTAATACATATAATACGAAAATCATTTGATATATACTTCAGATCATTTAACATGTAATACGATAATCACTATACAACCATACCCACGGTACATCACTAAGTGCCAAGCACTACACTGGTCAATGGATCCACGACAAACACTGGACCACAAGGTGGTCAATCACTAAGCCAATGGTTATTTAAGTCCCCCAAGGCATGGGACTCACTAAGCCAATGGTTATTTAAGTCCCCCAAGGCATGGGACTCCCGTGGTGGTACTTACAAAACATATTTTCATATAAGGTCATAGCCAAATATTCTTTAAGAGTAAAACAGACACATCCATGGATTTCCTTTTAAGCAAATAGGGTTCATAAAATAATCCACGTAACTGAAACCTTTATAAAACATAACTTTTATTAATATACTAATAAAACATAACATGTATAAAATAGATTTTGATAAGTCAAAATATAAGTAAAATACATTTTGGTGACTCAAGATATAATATAACTCACCTTAACTTTAATACATTACTCTTTCTTTTCACTATCAAAGACCCTTTCACCTTCCACCATTTCTCTCTTCTTTTCCTCTCTTTCTTTTCTTTTCTTTTTCTTTCTTTTCTTTCTCTCTTCCTTTCTTTTTCTTTTCTTTCTGGGCACTTCGCCCCTTATATACAGAGGCAACCGTGGGCACCAAGCCACGGCCTGCCACGTGTCACACTCCCATTCGTTTATCATTAGTTCGTTCTTATCTTTAATAGATATTTAAGATAATTACCCTTTGACCCAATATTTTAATATAATTATATAAATAATTTAATTTTTAATTAAATTACACTTTATCTTATACTAACAGAAATTAATTATTTATTTTAATACCACACCCATTATTATTATTATTTATATTATCTATATTATTATTATTTATATTTTGACCCTTAAACTTTTAATAATTATATTATTTTACAAAATTACCCATAATAATATATAATAAATTATATATTTTCTTAACTGAGATTAAATAATATTAGTATAAATTCTACAGAATAATTAAAAATCTGGGTTGTTACAATGTTACACGTGGCACTATTCATCTTCTTCCTATTTCTTCTGCTGATCAACCTGCTGATATTTTCACCAAGGCTCATCCTCCTAGTCGTTTTATTGATCTAGTTTCCAAACTCAAGTTGGTTGATGCTTACCCACCTTGAGTTTGAAGAGGGCTGTTAATGTATATATTAAATTTAGATTTATACTTATCTCCTTGTATTGTAGATTTAACTTATCTCTATCTCTCTCTATCTCTATCTCATTATATCTCTATCTCTCTCTATCTGTATCTTCTTCTATACTTATCTAGGTTTGTGTTCAGCCTATAAATGCAGGTTGTTCTATTGTATTCAATTCAATTCATATAATACAGATACGTATTTTTCATATTTCTTTCAACCATTCTAACATAATAAATGATACAATGGGAGATAATAATAAGGATGATTGTGACATTTAATCACACTGTTATTTAAAGACATACACGCATTATTACAATCACAAAACAAGAAAAACGAATCAAGAAGAACCAAGAGGCCTGAAATTCTCCCATATGTTCCAGATTACTCACGACATCACATGAAAAGACGATTGTGGCTTGATCATCAATTCAGCGGGGACGGGGACTGCATTGGCAGTGATCGTAGGTGGTACAATGCCGACTATTTTTATTGGCGAGCAACATGCAATTGTCGTACCGCATTGCATTACATACCGCACCCTTCTTTACAGAGTTATCACTACGAAAAATTAAGGTTTTAGAAACCAAAATTTAGGGACAAAATTATTTTTTAGGAACCAAATATTTTTATTGCGAAAGGTGTCATTATTATATATTTAGCAATGAAAATTGGACATTAGTGATGAATTATTATCTTTTTGGGAGCAAAATTTTTGTCTAAAAAAAAAAAAGCATTTTGAGACCAAATTATTTTGTCCCTAAAAGTGTATTTATTAGTGATATTTTCAAAATTTTGTCGATAAAAGCCTTATTTTTTTACTTTTTGGGACAACCTTTTAGTGATTATCCTCACAACGATAGAAATTGGTCCCTAAATGCTTTTTGCAACAAAATTTTCACTTTTAGAGACCAAAAAATTTGGTCTTTAAAACTCTTGTATGTTGTAGTGTATACCTAATTGTTGAAGCAAGAAACCTTCTAATCATCTTTGATTCCATCAAGAACTCTTCTCCTCCTTCTCCTTCATCTGTTAAGCATTCGCCAATGGCGGTATTACATCTCCCAGAGATCATTGAGTTGCTCTTTTTAGCCGAACCTGCTCTACATATGGAGAAATGGAGCAAAATCATCAAAAGCAGGACAAAAGAGAAATTGGTGTGGTATGGTTTGATCTTCATTTTATTCTTCATTTCTCCCTTCGGGCTTCTTCTCTTCTCTTGATTTTAGATATCAATTTCATTATCTGTGTTAGGAAAAAACTAGTATTTGTAGCACAGAAAAAAGCCTTGGCACCTTTTTGGATATGAAATCAATGGATGAGCTTGCATTATTATTATTTTTTTTTCTATTTTTTTTTTTATCTGCATGTGTTTAAAGAAAATGAATATATTGTTTATTGAATGAATCTAATTGGTACAGGATGAAGTCATATTTATACACTGCAATTGACTCTTAACCATAACTACCTAACCACAGTTAATGCTGAACAGTTACTCTATAACAAACTAACAACCTATAACAAAAATAACAAACTATACAGCTGGATATTACACATGTGATGCAACTGCTGTAGCTTCTGTATCTGTTGCAGCTGCTATATCTGTTGCAGGTTGCTGTGACTTATCAAATGAATCTAATTGGTACAGGATGAATATATTGTTTCTCAATTCCAGCAGTACCAGTCTCTTCCACTTCTGTTCCTCTTCTATCTCCTGTCCCTTCTGATCAGATTGCTATTTCCAAAATCTCTATTGATCTTCCCTCTCTTTCTTCTAATATGCTGTAGCTTCTGTATCTGTTGCAACTGCTATATCTGTTGCAGGTTGCTGTGACTTATCAGTGTTTGCTTTGAGAAATTCTCTATACACCTTGTTACGTATTTTTATGATATATATTATATATTTTTGTAGTAAATAATTTTTAAAATTACGACAATTTGTGATTTAGAAAGAAAATTACTCATTTTGTGGTAATGTTGTGTATTTTTGTGCTAATGTTATATATTTTTCTATTTAAACGTTTTCTAATAAAAAAATATGTAATATTACTACCTCTACCCTGTACGAATAAAAAAAGGGAAAATTTATTGGAAAGTCCTATTTTGGAAACTTCTATACCATTTGGTCACACATTTTAAATAGTTGATTGAGGAGTCCTTATTAAGTGTAGTGTGTGACCAGTAAGTCCTTTTTTAAATGTAGATGCATATTGGTTAGATAGATATACCCTCACTAGTTAATTGGGAAATTTTTTTTTTTTTTGAAAAGTGTGACATGTATGGTATGATACTCTAATGTGGCAGGCACTAATGTGACACTCCAACGATGGGATACTTCAAAAAAAATTAAAAACTCTTTAGTGTACTTTTCCCAAATGTGACAACGTTGCAAGTATAATGTGACACTCCAAAATTTTTACTCATTCTTAGTATACTTTTTCTAAATGTGACAACGTGGTAGATATGATGTGACACTCAAAAAAAAATAAAAACTCCTTAGTGTACTTTTTTCAAATGTGACAACGTGACAAGTATGTTGTGACGCTCTAAAAAAATTAAAAACTCCTTAGTGTACTTTTCCTAAACGCGACATGGCACTCCAACGTGGCGGACCCAATTTGATTGAATTATTGCTTGTCTTCACGTCACGTGCTAAAAAACAATTAGTAAGGAATTCACGTCCTACACTGAGTGTGTTGAAAATAACCAAAAATTTTAAAAATCTACTGGTGCGTTTTTTGAACAACGTGACACACAAATACCCCACCACCTTCCCCACACATAACCACGTCACCTGTCCCCCAACTGTACTAACAATGGCAAAACAGTCAACAAATAATTTAAGGAACCACTCGGTCACCAAAAAAACATTTAGGACCTTCTGATTACAAGTCTATAAAACAGGATTTACTGGTCAATTCCCTATAATAAAAAAAATGGGTAAATTACACTAACGATCCTTGTAATTTGGGACTTGTGTCACTTTAGTTTCTGACCTTTGAATTGTGATACATTTGACACTGAAATTTGAATCTCGTTTCAAATAAGAACAATTGATGACGCCGTTGCTCCATTTTAAGGGCAAAGTCATCAATTTGATAAAATATAAACTAGTTTGACAAAAATAAATGTCAAAAAAATATTTTTAAATTTTAAAAAATTATTTTTACCCACTAAAGATAAAATTATGTAAAAATGATGAATCTTTTACATTTTTATTTTTTTTATATTTTTACCAAATTAATTTTTAGTGTGTGTTTGAATGATGATCATGCAATGAGCGGTTGTTTTGTTAATGTTTTTGGATGGTTATCATGTAATAGATGGTTGTATTTGTTGTTAACATATATTTTTGAATGGTTATTATGTAATGTATGGTCATTAGACTTTTAATGTGTAATCGATATATTTAATATATGAAATATTTTTAGTTTTGAATTTTTTGATTTAATGGATTGGTTTAACAATGATATCAAAGTTGTCGCTATATTTGACTTTTGAAAAAATAGAAACTAATTTAACGAAAATAAATATAAAAAAAATTAAGAATTATTTGTACCCTCCCAAAAAATAAAATAATATAAAAATAATGTGTATTTAATTTTTTTTCACCAATTTAATTTTTAGTTTCTTAGAAAAAATTTCTGAAAATAAATAAGTTGTATGATGACTTTACCCCTGAAATGGACCATATGCAAAAGAATTTTTGATTGTCTTTGTTTGGAACAAAATTCAAAATTTAGCGTCAATTGTATCACAATTGAAAAGTTAGGGATCAGAATGACACAAGTCTCAAATTACAGAAACTATTAGTGTAATTCGCCTATTAAAATTTTATTTAGTGGCAAGCTGATCCATTTGACAACATGGTTGGGACTAATTTAGTCTATTAAAAAATAAAATAGACTAAAAAATTAATAAGATAAATATCACATCTAAATCATGAGTATTTTATTTTTTCTCTCATAAAACTACAAAAAACTAAAAGTTCATCCTAAACAAAACATTTTTTAACCAGACTAAAATAATCAAAAAATTAAAAAACTGTAAAAAGTTCTTTCCAAATAGATAGGGGTGTAATAATGGCCCAGCCCACATGGGCCTAGGCTTGGGCCCAACCTCGGGCCAGCCCATGACAGGTTGTGTGGACTCCCGCCTTTTTGCCGGGCCAGGCCACAAGTCAAAAAGTGAGACACAGGTCCACTCAAATTAGGGCCTGGGGTTGGGCTGGTAGGCCTACCTAATTTTTTTTTTGAAAAATAAACGATAAATATATTATATATATAGATTATTTATAAGAGATAAAAAAAAACAAAAGAAAAACTATACTAGAGTATTTTAGTTAAGATTAATGAGATATTTGGTTATATTTCATGTGTAGTGGTATTTAACTTTAATCATGAATGACTTATATTTTTTTTACTATGAACTCATGACTAAAAAAGTATGAAATTATGTAATTTTCTTCTTTTGAAATAAATAATTTTATATTTATCAAAATGAAACTTGCAATATTACAATCATTAAAATAAATAGATAACATTTATTGAATGAATAATTTTTATTTCAAAATGAAATAAAATATTACAAAAATTTATATCGTTAAATAAAATAGATATAAATTATTGATGATAGTAGAGCAATTGCATCACTGTAGGTCAAGTACATCCCGACTAAGTTGGCACCTACTAGCCCACCAATCATTTGTATTATATTCCATCTCAATAATCTAATACAAAAAAAAAAAATAATGAAATGAAATAGTAAAAAATAAATTGTTGATCAATCATTGGAGAAAGCAGACAATTCACTCGTGTTGCTCGAGAATATGTCATCCAAATTGGTTTGAATTCTCTCATTTCCACTATAATTTTGTCTTCTCGTAAACGCGTACATATAATCTCTGGATATCATCAGTGCCTCAACCAGTTGAGGCGAAAGTCTGCTGCTGTAATTACTCAGCACCCGTTCACTTGCACTAAAAGTTGTTTCCGAAATAACTGTAAAATAGGAACGGTTAGTATATCACAGGCTATCTGTGAAACCACAGGCCACATAGTTTCATTTTGTTTTAACCAATCCAAAATGTCAAAATTATCGAAATCATCCACTGATGGGATTTTCAAATAACGTTGTAGTTCAAAACTGCTTATGCTTGTATGTTGAGATATTATTCTACTTTTTATTTCTGAAAAAACACTTAATCTTTCACCTCGAGATGAGGATGTTGGTGTAGTGTGTGTCAGTGTATTTACAGATGCAACTGTCATGTATTCTTCAAATAATGTTTTGCATGTTTTTATAGTAGGGGCTAATTATTTTTGATCAGTGAAAATATGTTCTAAAAATTTTTGTAAACCAATTTTTTACACCTATGATCAATTATTATGGCCAAACCTAAAAGATAAGGCAATGGATCAAAATATTTATCAAATTTTTCTTTCATTGCAGTAATAATGGTTATATAATATTCATTATTCATATATTTTACGAAAACTTTCATCATTTCTCCTAACATATGTAAAACAAATGGTGAAGTAAAAATGTATATATATATATAAATAATTTTGTTAAAGTATCAAAAACTTTTAGAAAATCTTTATACAAGGTAACTTGGCACTAATTAAGTTTCATAGGAGTTAATACTTCCCCTATTGATGTTGTTACAAAATATAAATTTATTGTTTTTCTTTATTTACAAGTTTTTTTAACATATTATACGTTAAATCCACATGCAGTCTATATCTAAAATTAATTTTTTAAATGACACCCTCCAAAAGTCAATTAGCATAAGACATAATAGTAACAATCGCATTTTTTATTATCAGTACAGAAGTCTCGTATACATGCATAATTTCTTTAACAATAAAGTTTAAAATATGGGCACAAAAAAAAATATGAAATATATCATCACCAACAAGCAAATGTAAAGTTGATTTCAAATGGGTTATACTATGATTGTAATATATTGCATTATCTAAACTAATGGTAAATATTTTATTTTGCAAAACCCACTCATATAATGCATTTCTTACTTCTACAACAAACAAATGACCAGCGTATGAAAATTCAACTAATCTAAATGAAATCATTCTTTTTATTTAATTTCCAATCATTATCAATAAAATGTGCAGAAATACATTAATATTCTAAACCATTATTTGACCACAGATCAGATATTAAACAAACTCTTACATTCAAATTTTTGAAGATGTCAAATAATTCACTTTTAATATCCTTAAATTTCTTTAAAATCCTA